TTGAATGCTTGACGGGGGTAGTACTTGTTGAAGGCTTGGCGGGTGTAGTACTTGTTGAATGCTTGACGGGGGTAGTACTTGTTGAAGGCTTGGCAGGGGTAGTACTTGTTGAAGGCTTGGCAGGGGTAGTACTTGTTAAAGGCTCGGCAGGTAAAGTACTTGTACGGGTACTCTAACTAGTTATTAATATTGTGTAAATATGTAGTGTTAACCTAGTAAACTACGTGCTGTGAGAGATTATTAACTGTATTATTTAAGCATGTATTGTTTCTTGAATAATTTTAGATTATATGTAAAATATACATGTGTATGTTGTTTTAAGTTTTAGAAATTAAAAGCACACAAATGTAAGGGGCGTTTCTGTCGCTTATGTACCTCAAATGTTTCTTTGTTTATATTTAAGATCATACATATAAATCAAGAACGATGCAGATGCTAGAAGTTTGTGTTATTTTTATATAGCGTGGATCCATGAATTTAAGTGTCAATTGAAAAACAATCAGGAATCACGCCTTCTTAGTACTAACACTGCACCTAGAATATATTTTTGATAGTTTACTACAACGTTATATTTGGAAGAAAGTGTGCTGTTGATGGATCTAAATGTGATAAATGACAAGATTATTGAATACATAAAATCAAATATTATTAGGTGGTTTTCAGCACAGATAATCGGTTTCCTGGACTTGAGTAATTCATGCCCAAGGGTCACTGAGTCTGTTATTGATATCACTTCATGACAGTAGAAAACACGTGGGATCAAATAAGTTTGGTTAATTCAATTTAAGAAATACGTAAAATTCTAGTGCATCTGACAGGTGGGCCCATCTCCTTCAGGGGTTAGATTAACAGTGTAGGAGGTGGGTGCTGCTAACTGGTTGTCCTTCTCATGGTCAGCACGGCTAAATTAGGATAGCTATTCCTGAACTTTGACTGGGATTTTATTATACGTTATTTCGTTTTCTAACTTTTGTAGTAATCCTCAACCTGTGAAGTGGCAAAAATCACATTGTTTTATACAAGCTACAAAAATATATTTATCGATAAAGTATTTTAAAAATGAACAATAGAAATTCATTGAACGGGATAAATATTAGATTCTTTGAAAGTATAACACCTTAGTAACGTAAAATATCGACAGTTTGTTTTACTTATTGATTACAGTCATTGTTATATTTTACAATAGAGGGCACTATAGTCGGTTAATAATAGTCATTGGAAAATATGTAGGTGCAAGGAAAATATACTTGTTGCTTAGCCCTGAAAAATTTAGCTTTGAACATCTTCAGTAAACATTTGTTTTATCATAATCATTCTTCCGATGACTAATGGATTAAAAATTTGCCATAAATAATGCAACATTTGCTTTTCACGTTTTCATTTAAAATCGATCATATAACTACTAATTGTTTGTATCAACGAATGTTATAGCTAAAGACTTTTTTGCTATTAGATAAATGTCTTTTTCCCAAAATATGTATTTTGGGATAAAACCCGATCGACACGTATGTCACAACTTTATAAAACGCCGGTTTATCTATTCTCTTGAATAAATAAATGATTTGCATTTCAATAAATTAAAACCGTACTTGTGCATATATAAATATACAATTAAAAAGCGCACAAGATTAAAATAATTGCACAATAAAATTTATTAAACTAGGGACCAGCCCTATATGTTTTGGTGTTCTTCGCCACGTTGTGAATTCGTAAACTTACCGCTGTCCCACTGGGGTACTAATGGTTTGGATTAATTATACAGGCCCCCCAGTGGCACAGCGGTATGTCTGCGGACTTACAACGCTAGAATCCGGGTTTCGATACCCGTGGTGGGCAGAGCACAGATAGCCCTTGTGTAGCTTTGTGCATAATTAAAAAAACAAACAAACATACAATAATTTTACAGAAAATACTTTGTATATTTATTTTTAGTTACGCAAAGATCAACAAACTTAACTCGTGAATAAGTCTTTGAAAAATACCCGTGCAACTAATGCTCGAAACTACCAAATAACCATCGTGTTAGCACAAAAATGCCTGAAAAGGCGACCCATTATAAATGAAAGCTGTAAAAACAATTACTTAATTTTTGAAACAACAGACGATAAATAAATCACTGTATATGCAAATATTATAGCGGTAACACTTTCATAACTAAGAAAATTATTTTTTTTTTGGGGGGGGGGTTGTCTAGTAGTTAACCTTTCCGAACTGTTCCACAAAAATGAGCTCTGTACTTCGATACCGTCGGTGATCTTTAAAAGTAACGATCAAATCCCGCAATTTGATCAAATTCTGTCAAGAGTAGTCTAACAGTTAGCGGTGGGTGCTTTTGTATAGTCATATTTGTTTTAATCTGTCATTTAAAAATTAGGATAATAATGCTGGTCTCCTGGATTAGCATTCTAGGAAGGCCTGGCAGAGCTTAAATTTTGTATATAGTTCCAAGCAGGTTTAGTTCTTTGGCAGGTTGGTTTACTTTAGTGCTCAGTGAACTGATAACTCTCATTTCCTACTGTAAAGTCTCGTCTTGTTGCTGTTACGACCAGCAGAAATAAACGATCTCATTTGCCGTATTTCTTTTGTTGTTTTTGTTTCAAAATGAAACAACTATTTCTAGTCTATTTCTTTTGCTTGAGTTTGACTTGCGTTCTATATCTAAATTTTACGTTTCTTCTATCATCACGACCTTAATTAACTGACCTTACTGTCAAATGTACCCTATGATACATAGATACTAAAATAAATTTCTAAGAAAAAAAAACATGGATAGTTCATGTTTTCAGGGACGCTGTGCCCGTCACGTAGAATACGTATTTGCATGTAGTTCAAAGCTAAAAAATAAGGAAATTGAAACACAAAATACAGATTGATGATCACTAATCTTTTTTGTTTTTTTGATAAAATTCAAGATCATAAAAGTACGAAATGCAGGAGCTTCCAAAGGTATCCATCTACTTGACTCCCCAGATCCCATTTTACGTGTTTTTTTGTTGTTTTTTAAATACTAGCGGCACCCCCGTTTTCAAAATGCAGTCTCCCATTTCCATAGATTAAAAAATAAGAAACCTTCCTCACTCTGTACCATAACACTGTGTTAGGCCAAAATGTACAAAGAATATGCATATTTTTTAATTTAAGCTCATTTATCAGACCATTATACAGTCAGGACGGAGAGCCTTTGCTAATCTTCTAAACACTAAAAACACTACTAAAATCATACTCTTGAGTAGGTAATGAAATAAAGATAGGGTCGGGTATATCTTTAAGGTCACTTTTATTATCGAGTTCTTGTAGAATTCGTCCCAGTTATCTTTCTTTAACTTTTTAATTTTGTTCCGGATAGTGTTTGTGAGACAACTTATTTCTTTTTCCAGATAATGTTTGTGATTAACCTTTTTCCGGACAGTGTTTGTAAGAGACTATTTATTTATTTTTAATGAGATGATTTCTTCTCTTTGTATAAGTTTTCTATGTTTTTTCAATAATATTGACGATATCTCAGTTTGGTTGCCAATCGATGATCGGTGGTGTGTTTCAGTACACCACTGTGTGCTGTTTTTATGAGGCACTCAATGACGAGTTGACAGTTTGCAACGTAGGTAGTAACATTAGGCGGCAGGTTGTCATCTAGGAGTGTTGGGAGATATTTCCCTGTGTAGATGGTGATATTTATATAATATCTGACAATGAATGAAGCAAATTAAGAAGTAACAGTAGGTGAGTCAAGAATGTCACTCGAAGCGTTAGGATAAAGAATGCGTTGTAATGATATCGTTTTGTGGTATTGCGTTATTAAATTCAATTTGTTTTGTTTTCCCTTCTAGTGCAGCAAAAACCTTTGTTCTAAATGTTAAAATTTCCCGCTGTATTATAATCATTTTACATTTGAAGAACTGAAAGCTACGGTAGAGTTGTAGTTTTGATTGGCTGCTTTTACCTGTTTCCACAGAGGGCGTTTCGGTTTCTATGATAAGGCATTCTTCAGGTCGAAACCAAAACTGTACCACTGCGTAACATTCTTTTGAAACAATGCCTACACATACATTTCTTAATATAGGCTGTTCTCTTTTATGCAACAAAATTATAGCCCTTGTGGGGAAATTTTATTTAAAGCCGGTAACTTCTGATAGTTTTATTGCCAAATATATATAAAGATTCTTAGTGACTCATTCAATCGTGTTTCAGTAATATAAATTACAACTACACATAATTTGTTTAGCCAAGTTATGGATTTTGTACCTCTTGTAAACGAGCATACTCTCAACGTTGGTATAGAGTGGAAGATAGTGAAATTATGGATTTAGAGTTGGCCGATAACATTTTAATGAGGTTAGGTATTTGGGATATTAGAATTTTTTTTCAGAATGTTATATATCAGATTTTGCTTGTCTGCTTCCTGAACAACAGTGGTAGCTACAATTCCGAGAGGTTTGCTAAGAGCGGTAACAATTGAGTAATGTTTTTTTTTCAACTGAACGATATTGTTGATGTAGGTGTAATGTCTGTTTCTGTATGGCCAGGTGGTTAGGGCGCTTGACTCGCAAAATAAGGGTCGCGGTTTCGAAACCCCGTCCCGCCAAACATGCTCGCTCTTTCAGCCGTGAAGCGTTATAATGGTGCTGTCAATCCTACTATTTGTTGGCAAAATGAGTAGCCCAAGAGTTAGCGGTAGGTGGTGATGACTAGCTGCCTTCCCTCTAGTATTTCACTGCTAAATTAGGGACGGCTAGTGCAGATAACCCTCGTGTAGCTTTGCGCAAAATTCAAACTGTTACTGGTATTAACGTTTTTTGTTGTTGTTGTTGTCGTTTTTCTGTTGCTTACGTTATCGTTTGAAGGTTTAGTGCTAGTGGACTATGGCATAGGTTATAGTATTTATTACTGGTAGAGGTGTAAAGGCCGCGTTTGTTTTATGTGTTGTTTGTGAAAGTTTAAAATGTTGTGCTAGTGTTATAGGGAAAAATCGTGCACTTAACGTTATGTTGCGTTTGTTTTGATACATTTGCATTTACTGCGTACTTTGTTACTCTTGTTACAGACTCGTCAAATTTGTTTGTCGGGAACTGTATGTTACATCGGGGTCATTTCCACGACCCATTCATCTCGGCTGTGATTTACATGTTGCAGCAATATGGCTATAACGTCAAAACACTGAGTAATTTAATATGGCTGACATTCTGACTTCTTCCACCTTGTATTTCTCGTACCATAGGACGATCCCATTATTCATTTATTTAATGAGATTGTTCATATGCAGTGTGCTTACTTTTACAAACTTTGCGTATAGTTGTGTTCGTTTTCTTAGAAATTATGCGATAAACGGAACTTTACGTAAAATCCTGTCTTGGCCAGTTCGTGATATTCACATAGGGTTCAGCGCATTATATCAAAATTATTTTATATTTGCAAATCAGCAAGCCACGCGGTGGAGCGGAATGTATTAGAATTATATTTTAATATTGGCGTTTTATAGGTAGTTTGGGACCACCGAAACTTGATTGCTTTTAGGAAGGTATGGATGGATGGATGTAACAACCCTTTCAGACGTAAAATTTTCGTGCACTCAGGCATGTTCAGATCGGGGAGTTAGAATTTCCTAGACGGAGATACCACCTGTACTTAATGTCATTAGAAATCAAAAGAATATGGACGAAGTCGGGCACCAGGACCATTCAGAAAGAGATCTGCTACAAGTCATACCTCAACAGTGATAAGCAAGGTGCAGCGTCTTGTAACGTGAGTATCCACGAACCAGAACCGTGTCCGAACCAAACAAAACAAATATCTTTTCTGTATTGTTTGTTTTCGGATATTTGCACAGGCCTACTCAAGAGCTATCTGCGCTAGCCGTCCCTAATTTTGAACAGATAGACTTTAAGGGAAGGCAGCTAGTCAACACCATCGAATACTAAATCTTTGGGTACTCTTGTCTGAACGAATATTAGGATTCGAACGTTACCCTAACACGATCCTAAAGAGCGGAGAGCGATTGTTGTTGTTTTTTGTGGTAGTGGAATGTGAACGATTGTCTCGTAGATCCATAGCCCGAAAGGTCAGGATGTCCATTTTATGTGTTGATCTGTTAGTGTTTATTGGACATTAAAAGGTTTATTATAAAAATCGTCGTTCTTTTTTAGTATTGACACGATCCTTCTTATTAGGAAGGTTAAGAGTATATACCGATGCACAAAAGAAACGTACTGAACACCAGTTGTATTTTAGGACATGTCCTAATTATTTAATTATCCCAAGGTACCATATTAGTCAAAATATTATTTGCATTTCAAATATCGAGCAGATACATTTGTTAATTGTTTAATTTCCTAACGAGCTGATGACCTAAATTGTTGCGTTTTTAATGTGCACCTGAGTAAGTTGTATAATTTCCCCGAAAGGGGGCCAAAAGCCGCCTGGAAGAGGTCACCTGTTTTAACCACTCGCACCACATGTATGTTGTCTGACTGTCAGTCAGTCAATAGACACTAAAATAACGTCATATAAGGAACGCTTAACGTTACAATTTGTACTGTCGTGACGTCAGTAAAACGTGCGCATACCATGAATCACAAGAAGAATTATGCACTCTGTAGGCTACAACACAGCATGACATATGAACTTCAAAAGCAATAAATACAAATATTTATCACTGTTAATTTTTGTTTTATTTACTCTTGTAACACCACCTTCGGGGACCCTGTGTAAGTACATCTAGTATATAACGGTGTTTAAATAGAACTTACAAAGAAACATCACAGTATTATAATAATACCCTGAAAAATATCACAGTTCACCAGCTTTCACGTTATTCGCTGAACAATTACCTACTATATAAGGGAGGCTGGAATAAATAGGGTTTTTATTAAACTTTGTATATTATAAACCTACTATTAAGAAGTTATCGTAACCAGTAGTCTATTAAACGGAAGGTTTTCTGAATTGTCGTCATACACCCCTTTTAATGGAAAAGTTGAGAATAAAGCGTTGAAACTTTTCCATTTCTAAAGCGATTAATCTCTTATACATACCATTAAAAATTATGTTTGTTAGTTTTCATTATTAGACGTTATTTTGTTCTTACAACTCACGAGTCTTCCATTATGTCCCAGTTTCTTGTGTTTGATTATCAAATTTACATTAATCTTTAGCATTTACTAGTGTTGTGTACTTTGTTAAAAAATTATCATAGTTGTTCATAACTGCTAAAATGTTGATTTTGTTAAAATTCACATTTCTTCAATTACTTATAACCTTGCTTAATTGGCAATATTTACCACCCGAGTTTTAGTTGTAAAGTATCTTCACATCTCAACTAATGATTTATGAAATACAGAGCGTGTCCAGAGAAAACAAAAAATGAGTCAATAAAGTATTAAATTGTTTAATAATACTATTTATTCATTATTATGTACAATTTAGGTCAATATACTATTTTGTAGTTAATCATTTGAGGATATTTACACATTAAACATAGATTCCAATGATCATTACATTCTTCTTCTTACGGCAATTAAATTACTCTTTTTTTTTGTTTTGCCCCCTAAGATAGTTAAGCCCATAGTTCTTGTACATTTTTTTGCTTTTTAACTTGATTCCAGTCTTGTCGGGATAATTTCTGGGTGCAATCGAAACCTTTTTTTTTTTACCTTGCGGGAAACAGTTACACTATATTTCACTGGAGATTAAAATTGGACTTCCACTATTCGCTGAAAACAAAACTTGTTCTCTGACTATCATCATAGGTAACAGTGGCATTTTTCAGTGCCTTTCAAAGTATATAGAAAGCGCACGCTTCTCCACTAAATATCTGTTTAATACATATCTGAAATATAATCCAAAGTCATATCTTTATTGAATCACAGATTTTTTTAGTCACTTTTCTGTTCTTGATCGCAAAATAACTGAATGAGGTAATCAATCTAATTGGCATTGGTGTTTTCCATGAAGAATGGCTTTTCTTCTTACTTTTTGCCATTCTGTTATTCTTGGCGCGCACTGAATGACGGGAATCCCCAATATCCACCTTCCCAAAAAAAGAAAACTACCAGTAGCTGCTTGAGTACCACATTTTAGTGGCCTGTAGAGAATGGTATGGTTTGGTTCAAGTTGGTTCGATTTGGGCATAAGCTGAGAAGTATCATTCTTTCTGTAGATCCGAGTTATTCGTACTTCTAGTTCGGATCGCTGAAGGTCATTTTGATGACGAAGCGTATCCACTGTTCCTTGAATTGCTATAAAAGAATGAAAAGTTATGTTAGTTTCTGAGAATGTATTTACATTCATACAAAGGTCAGTATTAAGTACGGAAAAGTAAGTTAAATTATCAACACTGCATCAAAGTGTGATGATTTTAAAGGCTGAAACATGAAAAATTTGTTCTAAACCTTTGAAACTTTTGATACCAAAGTTCCGAACTTGAAATAAACAACTACCAGACAACAACCTAAATTGTCAGCTTTTAAGTATTTTGTTAAATTCAGTCTTTTTTTTTTTTTCTTAAGATTATTTCTAATATAGTTAGTTTCAGTAATTTATTTCCTAAGCTTTCAATCTCAAACGCTTTCCTTATAGGGACAGTTCCGAGACATAAAAATTATGTTAATTAAATAACCCACTGATGACCGGAAAAAGAGATTAACAGAAAACTAAAACGTGTTTTAAACTTCCAAGCTGGTGAAGAACAAAAGTTGTTTAGACTAATTTTATGATAAACCATCTTGGTTGAGTAGAGTTGATTTATGTATCTCTTAATTGGCTCATTGGAGCTTTAATACTCAAAGATTCTTATTTCATCGGTTTTAAAAGAGGTAAAATGATACTGATTTCAACATTATAAACAAAGCTTAATTCAATCAGTAATTTCCACTTCAGTTTATAATGTATATAATACACACACGTTAAAGAAACCTAACATCATACTTCGTACATGTTTATGCATATTTTCGATAGTCTAACTATCTTACATACTTTTGAAACATTTGTTAAGCTATAGGCAACTGCTATAGAAAAGAGACACATCTAACAGAACCTTACAGATCCAAATACTTTGCCCTCCAGTGGCACAGCGGGATGTCTGCGGACTTACAACGCTAGAAATCGGGTTTTGATACCCATGGTGGGCAGAGCACAGATAGCCCATTGTGTAGATTTGTGCTTAATTACAAACAAACAAACCAAATACTTTATTAATCTCATTATACTGGTCTGTGGTATAGTTCGTTTAGGTATTACTGATTCCTCCGCTAAACAGTACACATTTCATCCTTCTTTCTTTATAGTGTAAAAATCTTTCCTTAACTGTATGATAATTCTCAATTGTATGATGTTTTGAAAGGTTATATAGGTATTTCAGGAATATGCAGCATTGATGCCACAAATTTGTTCTCGTGACTTATTCAGTCAGACAAGCTGTTTAAAATACCACAAAAAAAAAAAAGATAAATGTGAACCCCATTTTATCATACGATTTATCACTTGCCACCAAATTATACCGGTTTCGGGAAATTCCACCCCTCATTAACCTTGGTCAAAGGCAAATCGAAATCAGGGTTACTGATGAGGCGTGTAATTCCGCGAAACTGGATTATCTCAATGAAACGGTAAATCTAGTGATAAACTGTGTTTCACATTTATTTTTTAACTCTCGGTTGTATCTAAGTATCTACTGGAGCTTGATTAAACAGATTTACTGAAATAGTGGTATTAAATAGGAGCCTTCAAAAAGAATAATCTAAATTCAAAGTTAGAAAATTTTCAAATTTTAGCCTTCATATAGAAATCTGAGAGGTATTAGGTGCTCTCAGAGCCGAATCCACATTTATATGAAAAATCCATGTGTCATTCACAATAAGTCATTGTACCACGTGTCTATTTTCGACATTTGGGGATTTAAGGGCTCTTAGGAATGGTTGCACCTTGAAAATACCAAAAAAAAAACTACACATTGT